ACTCTCCTTTCGAAAGTTATCGTGTAAACGGCCGGCCGGCCGGCCGGACGGCCGGACATACAGACCGATTTTAGTAGTGTACTCACTTTTTGAGTACACTAAAAAAATGATAATAAAATTTCATTTAGAAAAAAACTTTCAATTTTTTCAACTAATCAAGATTGGGATCGTTCAAGTAATTATATTGCTAAACGATATATTGATGATATACCAATGGCACGATATTTTGATGATGTTATGATGCAAATGACAACAAAATTATGGGCAGCACATTATAATCAACATAATCCACCGAAAAAAGTATTTATTGTTTTGATCAAACGAAAAAACAAAAATAAATCAATTTTTGTTTATTATTTTTGTTTTTGTAAGGTTGGTATTATTCAAATGAGTGTATTAGAATTTAAAGATCGTGCTGGTCGACCTTATTATCATTTAGAACGATTTATTGTAAGATAAACAAATAAATGAAGAAAAAAAAGAAAACAACATCAATTTATTGTCAATATTTTAGGATGGAAATTATATAAAATATAATTCAAATAGTGGTTTTGTTTGTGATGATACTATACGTCATACACCACAGGTATTTTCTGTCTATTAAAATAAACATAATCCAAAATTTATTTGTGTTTGTTTTTTTTTTCTTATTTTTAAAGGCATTTAGTCATTTTACTTTCGAAGCATCATGTCATGAATTGATTGTTGTTGATATTCAAGGTGTTGGTGATTTATATACTGATCCACAAATTCATACGAGCCTTGGTGTTGAATATGGCGGTTAGATTACTTTATTATTATTATTAGCTTTTTTTTGTTTTTAAATTTAATCTATCTATCTATGAATTTTTTATAGAAGGTAATCTTGGTATTCGTGGTATGGCATTATTTTTTTCTACACATGAATGTAATCCAATATGTAAACGTCTCAATTTAACATCATTTGATCTATCACCTGGCGAACGTAAACGTCATACACAACAACAGTCATTAAGTTCATCAAATGCATCAAAACTTCCAGCGCAAACAATATGTCGCGGTTCGGAAGAACCATTAAATAGTTTTTCAAAGGTTTGTTCATTATTTCGACGACTTCGTTCACCATCGTCGATATCAGAAGATGATTCCGATGGTTATGTTTCTGAAACATCATCAATTACAGCTACTACTGATCGCATATATAATCATAGTTTATCGTTACCACAACCTGAACAATTGATGACAATATTTAATGATGAAAATTTATCGTTATCAAGATCATTTAAAGAAACTAAAATACCATTATTATCAACAACTAGTTTGAATAGTCCATCACCTGTAAGTATTTTTTGTAATTGTAAAAAAATTTTCAAATACATCTTTTTCTTTTCGTTATGTTTACTGTGTAAAGAATTGTTCATCACCTTCACAATCTGTAAGTAATTAAATTAATTAGAAGAGATCGAAAAAAGTTTTCTTTTTTCTTGTATTTTTAAGAATTTTAACTTTAAAATTGAAGATATTTATAACGCTCAAATACCAAATAGTTATGGAGATAGTCAACGTCCATCATCAGTTATGCTTGAAAAAACTGAAATGAAAAAACTTAAAGAAACATCTACTTATGAAAAATATGAAAGTATTCTTGGACAGGTATCATCAGTTTTATTTTATGTTTATTTACTAAATAACTTCTAACTATTTATAATATTTGACATAATGATAGCTACTAATATTTGCTGTATAATCAGTCGAATTGACCCTAGATTCGAAAATTTTACATCTGAGATATTCTAGTTTACTATGAGAATTCTTTGAGTAAAATTATCGTTGTTTTTATTGGTATCAAAAGAATAATATGAAAACTTTGTATGTTTTTATTTTTTAAACAGTATATTTTATTTTCTTTCGAATCTTGGTATTATTCATTCTCTGTTTGATTGTATAATATAGTCCTTTTATAGGTTATATTACTGATGTCGTTTGATTAATAACAACGATAAAAATTGTTTACTTTTTCAAGCATCATATTAACTTAAATTTTATTTCATCATCTTTTTGTTTTATTTCTTTTCGTCTCATCATTATCGAAATATCTACTTAGGGTGGTCCAAAAGTTCTGGCCATGGAATTTTAAATTCGTTAAAATTCCATGGCCAGAACTTTTGAACCACCCTAAGTATTATATCAACATACATCAATCAAATAGAAAATGAATAACAAATATATACGAAATTTTAATAGAAAGAAAATTAAAAAAAATTCAAATATTACTTTTAATTGGCAAGACTGTAAAAAATCTAATTAGATTCGATTCTAAACTTATCAAAAGTTTCTCTCTATACTGAAGTTCTGAGAAAAAGTCTTACGTAACGATATAAATGATAATATGACATTCATTGGAAGTTTGATATGACCATAAAATATATCATTGTCCATGAGAAGTTATTATTCCTGATTCTAGTGAAAAACAACACATAGTAACTTCTAAGAATATAGTGTTGCTTGTTTTTTTTTTATAAACAATAACTTTTTCAATTAATTAATTTAATCTATTATTAATGAAAATTAATAAAAAAATTTTTTTTTTTTATCGAAGAATAATTTCTAATTAGTCAATATATTTATATTGTAGATTCATCTTGAAGTGTGTAAATGTTATCAAGTTGGTAGATTTAGTGAATTAGGTTCCGAAGAATTTGATGAAGAATCAGCATTTTTTCATCTAGAACAAGCAGCTGAATTGTGTATTAAAGAAGCGATATTTATATTAGCAAAAGTTTATTTAGATTTACCTCGTGATCTTTTATCACATTATTGTCCAATGGTAAAATTTTAATTTTACAAATAATCAATGTAGAAAATGATTGTTTCTTTTTTCATAGGATCAAGTTAATCAAATCAGTAAAGGTTTAAATTTAATGATTCGTGCTAGTGAATTACATGAAATAGAAGCAAATCTTTATTTAGCACAACTCTTTGATAATGGTGTTGAAGAATCTTTGTTTGTATTTCTTAGTTCTATTAATCATTTTGTTTTTGCTTATTTTATTTATTATAGGGAAGCAGATTGGAAACAAGCAGCTGAATATTATGAAAAATATATTCGTATACGTGAAAATGAATCGAATATTATTGATGAAGATAGTGAAACTAATGAATCAGATCAAACTAATACAATTCATAATGAAATCCCATTTCATGATCGTCATGATACGGTTGCTCGTTTAGCTACTTTATATAAAACAGGTGGATATAATTTATTATGCAACTATCGGAAAGCTGGTAATATTGTTTTGTTTCTTTCTAATAGTCGAATTCGAGCTAATTGAATATTTTCTCTTTTTTTTTTGTTTTTATTAAAAGGTGATTTATTTAATAAAGCAGCAGAAATGACAACGGCAGCAATGAAAGGACGTCTTGCAAATAAATATTACATGTCAGCTGAAGAAGCTTATGGATTAGAACCAGATAATGAAAGTGAAGACAGTTAAATGAGTGTTTTTTTTCTTTTTTCTGTATTCGTCTATCAATCCGTGTGATCATTGTCTTTCTACGTGATATTTTTTTTTCTGTGAGACATTATTATTATCATTCAATTTTCTTATATTGTATTCTATTGATTATCATTATTTTTTTTTTGTACTCTTAGCTTAGTTTAACTAACAAAAAATGTAAATTGTATTCAACTATTTTTCAATAAATTTTATGTGAAAAAGAAAAAACAAAGTAAATTTGGGATAAATAAAAAGAAACAAAAGACATGATCGCATCAGAACATGATTTGATCTATAGGACTTTTTATACTTAATCCAGTACAATCACGTATAGAATTAAAGAACTTTAATTGCTGAGTAAGGAAACTGTGGGCATTTGATTGTCTAGCCACACCCAAGAACGAAACATGACGACAAATAAACATTCGAAGTTCTATTGTTTTAAACTAACCTCTGAATCATGTTTTAGTTCATGCTGAAGCTTGTTGTAAAACATAAATGCATTATCAAATAGGATGAAATTAGTGAGTATAATTACAGATGTTTATTTTTTGAGAGCAATGGAACAACAATACTCCCACGCTATTCTACTTTTTATGTTAAAAGATCATCGATTTATGCACACATAGCGACAAAATTGAGTAGGAAATAATTTTGTGAATCAGTTACATAGAGGCAGAGTTTCACCGATGAGACATAGTTTAATATTATTATGACATATTCCATTTTCGATTGTCGTTGTATTTAGTGGTGAGTTTGGATGGTTGTGACTCTTGATATCCTTTTCAGCTACATACCGTGATCAAAAATAGGTATCGAATGATACATTGATCAATTGACGAGGACCACGTAGATTACAAGCAAAGAATCGATCACTTCCACCTTTCTTAAAAATAATTATACCTAGGGTGTGGGTGTGGGTGTGGGTATGCGTGTGCGTGTATGTGAGATGGGCGGTGATGCGGATGAAAGCATAAATGACCCCCACCGCCACCCACACCCACCGACAGCTACACCCACAATCCACACCAGAATTTAAGAGGAAACTTAATATGATAAAAATAGTTTTACATAAGTAACCATCGTTCCAACATTCAGTACTTCTATGCACCTGATCAACTGATAAGAGCACTAAATTGATTGGGTAAACAACATGGCTTTAGTTGATTTGCTCGAAATATTGCTGGTTTACCATGTGAAACTGTTGGAAAAAGTATAAGAGCAATAAAAAGTGTGCAGTAAAACATTGTTTTGTACTTCGTATTAAATTCTTTAGCAATTTGAATCAAATGAATAGTGCGCTGCTTATTTTTACAGAATCGAAAAGATAATGAAGATAAATATTCAACCATATTATCAAGGTTTTTCTCTAGTTACCTATTGTGACCCTATAATACACTAACAAACCTAATCCGTATAGAGATCTAACGCTAAACTCAAATCGCATTTTTCGAGCTTATTCAAAAGGATGATGGAGAAAAGGGTAGAATTAAATTAGTTGCTATACGGAACATACGATGACATCAAACTTACTAATCTTATTGATATCTTATCGTGCAAGTTTTGTTTTTATTTTTCATTGAATTAAAAGATTGGATGATGCATCAAATCTTTTAAGAATAATGGAAACTCAATAAAATCACACAAGAAGCTCTTTTATTTTGATAAATCAAGTCTGATCTAGAAGATGTACGAAAGAAACCAAAAATAATTACAAAAAATAGAGTGATTCTTCAAAGATTATTGCATTTTTTGAAGTTGGGTGTGGGCGGGTGTGGATGTGAGTATGGGTGTGCGTAGATGTTTGAAGCTCACAAAAACATCCTGATCCACATCCATTTCACACTCACTCCCATCCACACCCACATTCAACCCCACACCTCTCAGCCACCTACACCCACACCATTTTTTGCCGAAGTATGAGTTCGCGATTATCTAATACTGACTGTCTAAGTACCTGTCGAAATCCAGCTCATAGACTAATCGAAGTCATTCAAACTTTAAACAGTCAAGCTCTCATCTATTAAAGCATCGTCACAATTTTATTTTAATTTCTTCCAAAGCCAAAGCCAAAGTCAGATTTTCTCGGTTTATTCAGTCACACACACATATATGAAGCTAATATTCACCTTTTTTTCTCACGTTGAACCAAAATTTCCGGCCTCGCGCATATCATCAAACATCACATCGCAAAAAAATATTCGTCACCAGACTTCTGTTTATATGTTTCCCTCTCTTTGAATCAAGCATTGTGACTCGCTCGGCTGACTCAATATTACATGGCAAACGAACACTCACCAAAATATATCAATTTACCGCTGTTGGATACTTGGAACTAAGCATTGCAGTCTGCTCGGCTGGTTCAACATTGAATGGTAAACGAACATTTATCAAGAAACCTCTGTTCACCTCTATTGCTGATTTCGAATCACACATTTTCACTTGTTTAGCGGATTCAACACTATTTGACAGAAGTGCATTCCTTATCAAACTTCTATTCACCACTTTTCTCCGCTTCGAGCTAGAAGCGCCAATTCGCTTACCTGACACACCAACTTACGACAAAGGAATATTCGCAAGCAGAATTATGTTCTCCTCCTTTGCTCACTTCGAACCAAACGTCCTGACTCATACAGCTAGTAAAACATGACATCAAAAAGGAAGATTCATAACCAAACTTCTGTACATGCGTCTAGTTCACTTCGAAGGAGTCGTCGCGACTCGTTCAGCTGATCTAACATAACATGGTAAAGGCCTATTTCTAAGTAGACTTTTGGTTACCTATTTTGATCACCCCGAACCAAATATTGAGATACACTCAGTCTACCCAACATTACATGGCAAGGAAGCAGTCCTGATAAGACTTCTGTTCACCTCTTTTGCTCATTTGGAATCAAGGATTACGATCCACTCACCTTATCCAAAACATTACAAGAGCAAGGAGCATTCTTCACCAAACTTCTGCTCATATTTTTTCTTCCCTTCGAACTTAACGTTGTGACTATCTCCGCGGACTCAACATTACATGGTGAAGGAACATTCTTCAACAGATTTCTGTTCACCTCTTTTGGTCACTTCAAGCCAAAGGTTGCTATTCGCTCAGCTGGTCTAGCATCACATAGCACAGAAACACTTCTGAGAAGACTTCTGTTCATCTCGTTTGCTCACCTCGAACAAAACGATACAACTCGCTCCGTTCTTCCCACCCTACACGGCTAAAAAACATTCCTGAGAAGACTTCTGCTCATTTAATTCGGTCACTTCAAGCCAAATGTTGCGATTTGCTCAGCTGATTCAACATCATATGGACAAAGGACGCTCGTTAAAATACTTCTGTTCACCATTTTTGCTCACTTCCAACTAAAAGTGGTAACTCGCTCAGTGGGTACCACATTGCATGGTAAAGAAATATTCATCAAGATACTTCTTATCACCTCTTTTGCTCCCTTCAAGCCCAACTTTGGGTCTCACTCAGTTAATATAACACCTCATGACAAAGGAATATTCTTGACGAAACTTCTGTCCACCTCTTGTGATCGATTGAGATCAAACTTTGAGACTTGTACAGCCGATTCGATATCATAATGTAAAGGAAAGTTTCTGAAAAGACTTATGTTCACCTCTTTCGTTAAGTTCGAACCGAACGTTGTGACTCATTTCGTTGATCCAACATCAAGTAGACAAGGAACATTCATTAGCATACTTTTGTTCATCTCTTTTATTCAATTCAAACAAAACATTGTAACTCGCTCAGCTGATGCGACACCGCATGACCAAGAAGCATATTGCAAGATACTTCTGTTCATCTCTTTTGCTCACTTCGAGCCAAACTTTGCTATGCGCTCAGATAATCGAGCATTACATGACAAAGAAACTACGATCACGAGACTTCTGTTCACGTCTTTTGCTCACTCTGAACCAATAGTTGTCTGTTGCTCAGCTGATCCAACATCATCTTGTGATGGAACATTCATCACCAGACTTCTGCTCACCTTTTCTTGCTCACTTTGAATCAAGCGTTACGACTGGCATAGCTCATACAACATCGCATTGCAATGGAACATTCATCAACAAGTTCCTGTGCACCTCTTTTGCTCACTTCGAACCAAACTTTGCGACTCGCTAGACGAATCCTACATCACATGGAATACGAATATTCATCAAGATACTTCTGTTCGCCCCTTTCGCTCACTTCGTGTAGAATGTTTGGACTCGCTGAACAGATCAATCGTCACCTTTCAAAGGAGTATTGCTGATAAAACTTCTCCACGCGTCTTTTACTCAATTTGGAGCAAATTTTGAGGCGTGCATAACTGCTTCAATATCACATAGCAAAGGAACATTGCTGATGAGACTTTTGTTTGCCTCTATTGATCATTTCGAAGGAAACATTACGACTCGCTTAGCTCATACACCATCGCATAGCAAAGGAACATTCGTCAGAATACTTCTGTTCTTCCCTTTTCTACACTTTGAACCAAAGGTTACGAGTCAGTAAACTGGTCTAGCATCATATGGTAAATGAACCTTGATCACTAGACTTCTATTCATCTCTTTTGTCCATTTTGAATCAAACACTGGGTCTAGCTCATCTGATCTAATATCACATGGCAAAAGAATTTTGATGACGAAAGGCCTGTTCACCTCTTGGAGTCAATTTGAATCGAACATTGCGAATCGTTCAGTGGATGCAAGATAGCATGCCAATGGAACATTCTTTATTAGACTTAAGTTCACCACTCTTGCTCACATTAAATAAAATCTTGGGACCCATTGAACTAATCGAACCTCACATGCCAGTTGTTTTGAATAACATGTTGCGCCAGTCATACATTCATGAATTTCCCTAACTTCGCATACAAGATTATGACTGAAACATGATTGCATGCTTCAGATGTCATATGAACAACTCTAATCAATATCATATTCATTTCCTTCGATTAATCTAAGCTAAATATTGGCAGACATTCAACTAAACAGTAGTCATATTTCACATG